AGTTGAGGGGAGAATGAGTAACATGGTAAAGAGAAGACTAGATTCATCCTTTGTGTTCTCCCAGGCCAGCCTCCCATACAGCGCTGTCAGAATGATGAATGGCATATAACTGGGTCGTTCCTGGGATCACTACCTCTGTCCTTGAAGTTCTAGCCAGCCACAGGTCCTCCCTAGGGTTATCCCCATTGATACTTTGGCCAAAGAATACAGTTACCACCAGATAGTACAGGTCTGTAGCCAGGATCAGGATGGAATGGGATCTGCAGCTGGACCCCAGGAATTCCCAGTCTGCTAAATGCAGAAGATTGCCTAGATCATTTCATTATCCTTATGATAGCGTGACTCTGCATAGTACATAATTGGAAATTTTGGACTCCACTTGATGCATTCAGGCAGGATTTTACTGTGATTGTCAGAGGTTTACAAGTAGTTGGATCAGCATACAGTATGTTTATTTGAAAGTGTTCATTATAAAAGACAAGCTGCCATCACAAGGGGATACCACTTCATACCTGTTAGAACGGTTATAATTGAAAAGACAGATAATAGTAAGTGTTGAGAAGGATGTGAAGAAATTGGAACCCTCATACATTGCTGACAGGAATATAAAATGATACAGCTGCTGTGGAAAACAGTTTGGCAGTTAGTTCTTCAACAAGTTAAACAGATACTGCATGATTCAGCAGTTTTTTAACCCACTCCTAGTTTTTTACCCAAGAGAAATGAAAACATACATCCAAACAGAAACTTGAGCCTGAATGTTCATATGCAGCATTTTTTATAATAGCCCTAAAGTGGAAACAACCTGTAGGGGAAGCATAATGTCAAGTCTTCCCTCTTAAGTACTCTGTCTGAGCCTAGGAATTAAATTGACATAAAACAGATTAACAGGAAAAAATGCATACAGATTTATTCGATACAAATTTTACATGACCCAGGAGCCCTCATAAGAAAATGAAGACCCAAAGAAGTAGTGAAACCTAAATGCTTTTATGCTGGGTTGAACAAAGGCAATTATGGAAAAGTAACTAAAATATACAGGGAAGCTGTAGGAAGATAAAAGTTAATGTAAGGATGTCTGTACAGAATTTTCTTGGCCTTGAACTCCCTTCCCTGGTGATAAGAATGTCTCTTTCCTACTGGTAGAGGGAGGGCATCTTTCACATGGAAGTTATATCTCCTGCTTTCAGGAAGAAAAGGGGGAGGTCAGAGGACTCTTGCACCTGCTGTTTTTCAAGTGCCGTTAGCTCAAAAGAAGTCTTATGCCAAAGTGGCATATTTTGGGGTAGCATATTCTGCCACCTTCCAAATCCAAATGTATATCAACTGATGAATGGATAAATAAAATGTGGTCTATCCATACAGTGGAATATTATTTGGCCATAAAAAGGAATAAACTACTGATACATTTTACAACATGAATAAACCTTGAAAATATTATGCTAAATAAAAGAAACCAATCACAAAAGACCACATATAGTTTAAGTCCATTTATATTAAGTGCTCAGAATAGGTAAATCCATAGAAATAAAATCAGATTAAGTGGTTACCAGGTAATAGAGAAAGGAGGAAAATGAGGAGTGACTGCTGATGGATACAGGGTTTCTTTTTGGAGTGGTGAAAATGTTCTGGAATTAGATGGCGATGGTTGAACATCTTGATGAATATATTAAAAAGCCACCACTGTACACCTTAAAAAATAATTTTATTAAGAGACACTTCAGATTTTGGAAAGAGGAAATTTATATATATTTTCAAAACACTAGGAGTTCTCACATTTCTCGTCTGTGGTGAAGAAAGAGCTATTCTGAGATGAAGGTTCTTTAGCATATTTTAAGTGATTTTATCTTGTTTTAAAAACAAGTTGTTGAGGGCCGGCCCCGTGGCTCACTCAGGAGAGTGTGGTGCTGGTAGCGCTGAGGCCGCTGGTACAGACAACACTGTGCCAGGGTTGTGATCCCCTTACCAGTCAAAAAAAAAAAAAAGTTGTTGAATGAATTTTTTTTTTTCAATTCTTTGTTCCACTAGGAAAATGGTACAGACAACACTGTGCCAGGGTTGTGATCCCCTTACCAGTCAAAAAAAAAAAAAAAGTTGTTGAATGAATTTTTTTTTTTCAATTCTTTGTTCCACTAGGAAAAACTCATTGTATCCAATGAACAGGAAGTTCTAAGAGTTCATTACAGAGCTGCAAGAACATTGGCAAATCAAACACTGCCATTTAGTGCTTGTACTGTTTTACTGGATGCAGAAGTATACAATGTACCATTGGACTCTCAGGTAAATGTTCATTGATATGTTTAGAATGCTCTCAAAAATACGACTTCGTTATTTTTGGAGTTTTTTCCATAGAAGAAACTTGAATTCAATAATTATTGAAGCTCAAAAGAGAAAACTCTTTTAGACCAAAATAGTTCCAGATGACCTGGTCCTCTATTTTCTAAAGCACTCTAAACATTAGGTTTATATTTTGAAAGCAGATAATCACAAAACACATATATACAAGAGTACTTCAAAAAGTTTGTGGGAAAAAATAGAATTAAAAGTTAATGCAAATCTTTCCATGAACTTTTTGAAGTACCCTTATATTTAAGGTAGTGCCCTTACAGATAAACTGCAATTTTTTTTAAAGTGGATGTTTATACATTTATTTCTGACCTTCAAGCAGCTAGAAAGCTATTGTAAAGTACTCTGAAAAACAACCCAGGCAGACTGAACCTCTAGGTTGTAACAGTGCTAAAACAGGGCCAGGCTCTGGTTTTGACCTTGGAAGTTGGTGGGATAAATAAATCATGAAAAACTGGAGCTATATATTGATAACATTGATTGCCTTATATGAATTACATGAATTCAGAACCAGCCATATCAGTTGTCAGAATTTTTTTGTGCTTCATAAACCAGAAATTCATTGGTCAGAAGAGAAAGAATATGTAATGATTAAAGTTTTAAAAATATAAACACAGTGAAAGAATCACCCCAAAACAGCCTAGGAAATACTGTCTTAAAGGAGACAAACTAGTAGTACAAAAGATGTAGGGTATACAGTAGAGAAAGATATTTAGCCATCTCTGGGCTTTATTTTTTTGATCATTAAAAAAAGATTGAAATAGATCCAGCAGATTTTGAACTTAAAGCCACCGATTGTTTTTAAGTGAGAGTGTTCAGAGATACTTGAAGAAGCTATTAAAATGTTTCTCCCTGCATATGGTAAACTTTAACATTAAAATTATATCTAAAATCAATGATACTTTAATAAGAATGTCACAGGCACAGTATTTCATAGGACATGCCTTTTTGAAGAACATCTTTGACTCACAGAGCACAATAGAATAGTAGGATTCTGTTTAGTTAGTAACTAAGTCCAGCATCCTAAGAATTCTAATAACCTGTCTACTGAATATTGAAATAACAGTTTTATCAAATTTTAGCAGTATTCGATTTATATTTGATCTTTTTCAAAACGTTTTTCCATCATTAATATAAAAAGGGGGCATATACCACAGAAAGATATTATGACATAGATTTGAAAGTGGCTTATTGTATTTTATAGTATTTAACTACATTTAATGTTCTATTTCAGTCTGATGACAGTAAAACTTCTGTAAGAGATCGCTTTAATGCAAGACAGTTCATGTCTTGGTTACAAGATGTGGATGATAAATTTGACAAATTAAAGGTATGTATGTTTAGAAGTCAGTTTAAATGAATGCTCCCCCCTTCTTAAACAGAAACTACAGCTTTACTAGGGAGAAATAATTAGGAAAGGAAATATTCGTCATGAATTCTTAAGCTGGGCCACCACTGAAAAGATGAAGGGAAATAAAGACCACAAGTCCATTTTTCGGGACTAATGTAGTAAAAAAGGTGAAACTGCCACAGGAAAAGCAGTTTCCAGTGTGGGCCTTCATGCTTATTATCCAGCGCACCTCTCTGGTTACAGCTCTAACACAGGAAAGAAAAGGAGAGTGGTAAGGAATGTACTTTGTACATAATCTGTAATTATTTCTCTCTAGATTTTCATGATTCCTTTGATAATTTGAAAGAATATTTTCAAATTAAAGTCTGTATGATGAATGTGAGGATGTAGACCTAGAAATAGTTGGTGTTTGCATACAAACAGGGTGAAACAGAAATGAACTTATAATTTGAACCCTTTTTGTACTCTTAATTCATCCATCTTAGTCCCTAAAGCAACTATGGATGAGATTAATTTTTAAACAAATGTAACAGTATAATCAGTTCTTCTCTTCTTTTAAATAGACCTGTCTTTTAATGAGGCAACAACATGAAGCTGCGGCTTTAAATGCCGTCCAGAGATTAGAATGGCAGCTCAAACTCCAGGAACTCGATCCTGCCACCTATAAGTCTATCAGCATTTACGAAATCCAGGAGTTTTATGTTCCCCTTGTGGATGTTAATGATGACTTTGAATTGACTCCTATATAGCAGCCATGACTTCATGAAGATGTCATCCTAAACTGATGATGCCCAAGCATTATACTGTGGAATACTGCCTTTTGACAAAAATACTGGTAATATGTCTTTACAATCATTAGTAAAGTTCATTTAAAGTTGGTTATGTAGTAAACACTGTCATTTTATAAAAAATGAAGAGAATTATTTTGGATCTCAGATCCAAACACAGTTTCTAACAAAACTATTATATATATTGGTGAAAGGTAACTCTTGGATTAGAGCATATTGGCAGACCGGTAGATATTTAAGAAATTGAGAATCTGCTAACAGCGCTGGAAGTTGTTAGCACTCTAAGTATGGAGATAACCACTACTATTCAAATCTCTTTCAGGTTTTATTAAAAATGTATCAGTAAACTAAAAGGTTCAGTTCCTACCAAATGGTTGCTAACATGGAAGAAAAACTTGGCACAAAATTTCTTCAGATTATTGTATCTGTAAATTAATTGTACAGTTTTCTTTTTGACAGTTTTAATATTGTCTTCCATTTTAATAACTTATTTTATACATACTGTGCAGATGTAAATCTTGTAATTAATGGTCAAAATGTACACAAAGGGATTGGTAGTCAACACATGTACAAAGAAATAACTGTAAAACTGTTTTGTCTAATGTTTTATTGGACCAAAGTTGTAATTTGTATGGAGTGTAGTAGTACTGTGTTCAGGTAACAGAACCTTTAAATAAGGCATGCATGTGTTTGAGTTAGATTGTTTTCATCACCATAACTGTAAAGATGATGGCTTAGTTGTAGTGCATGCTGTGTATAATTTAACTCTCTCCATGACTGAGGCACAGAACAGTATAAGGCGTGTCATACCAGTCTCCTGTGATAGAACCTGTGACTTACTATGTTGGACGTATTATTTAGAAGTAGTCATACGAAGAAACTTAGCTCTTTTTTCATCTCGCAGTAGAGCCTATTTCCCGCTGGAAAAAAAATATGCCTTTGAATGAAAATTCTGAAATTGTAAATGTCTATTTTAATACTCAACTATAAAAGAATCTGTGAATATATGTAAATATGTTTAATAAATTTTATTGGTCATGTTAAATCATTGTAAAACTTTTTTACATTGCTTAAATTTAATGTTTTAAGCTTAATAACCTTTGCACTTTTAAAATAAAAACCAAGTACTCAATTCAAAAAAGAGATATTTCGTAGCCAAAAAAAGTAAAACTTAGGAAAATTCCAATCAGTCTCTGAAATGTTTATGAAAAACTGATTGATATGTTGTAATTTTTTTCCTTGTATCAAGATGCAAAACATAATTTGCAAAAGTTTATAATTGAAATAAGATTTGCTATGCTGTTTTATAATAAGATAATTAGCAATATACTTAGAAAAAGTCCAGTTTCTCCTATAACATGATGTAGATTAAATAGGAATATTTCATATCTAAAACCTGCTGCTGAAATTGTTAAACATTTTTGAAAGGATAATTAGGTTAGTGTAAAATTGATTGTAAGTATGAGGTAAAACTTACAAAACTTCCATAATACCTTCTTGAATTAAAAATAATACTGAATGTTTTCTATTCTGATAAAGTGAAAAGAATATATGAGGAATGAGTGATTTAAATTCAGCTTGCAAGTTAGAAATCCCAGCTAATGGGAGAGAATGTAAAAGTTTTTGAGTGCAAAGGTACATATTAAGCTTTAGGGATTTTTGAATTTTTACATCAATTTATATCTTAATTATTACTGTACTTGGCATGCGCAATAAAACAGCACGTGTAAAAACACACAGTGCAAGGACTTCATTACAAAAGTTGGATGTAGTTTTCTTTAGAAATTTAGGTTGAGAGATTTTGGCCTTTTCTATTGGATAAATGGGGCCAGAAAGGCAGGGTAGATTTTGAAGCACTGGTTTTGTTGAAATTAAGTTTATTAAGGCTGGGAACATTAAAAGCTAATTTATAAAAAGCAATACTTTTTAATATGAAAAACTTAATGCAAAGTTTGTTTATACTTTTGCCTAAGAAGGAAATTTGATGGGATAGTGTGGCAAATCATAAAAATAAAAAACCAGATTATTAGTATTGAAGTTATAGGAAATAAGAGAGGAGAAGTTTTAGAGCATTTTGTTCTGATGGTTCAGCCAGCAAAGGGGGGGGGGGGGGGAAAATCCTGTTTGGCCAACCAGAACAAGCTCCAGAAGAGAAAAGCAAGCAAGCAGGCATCTGGCAGATTTTAGTCATTCCAGCTTTTTAGTCTTAACCACAGTTTTC